GCCAGGGATGGACAGGCAAAGCCTCCCCCCACAATGCTAGAGAGTAAGTTTTGCTTTCTCAAGGTGAGGCTAGACACTGTTAATTCTCTCAGAATACTATATGCCAAAATATATAATGTGTATAATAATAATAGTGAACACAGGATACTTACCGAAATATTCATGGAAAAGCCAAGTTTTTCAGCATGTTTTTTATGCCATGTTTGTAGTAAAATTAGGTGCCTCGGCTGATATTTGGGTTGGCTTATACTTGAGTATATACGGTACTATATTTCAGGCACTGTTTTGAGCATTTTATATTTACCGATTCATTTACTCCTCACAACAATCCCTCTGAGTGCAATATTGTCATTATCCTTACTGTGCAAAAGAGGAAATGGAGACCCTGAGAGACTCCGTGACTTGCACCAGGACGTATAGATGGTAAGTGATGGAGCTGGAGAGTCAAACTCAAGCAAACTAGGAGCTGTGTTTTTGCTTTATGCAATGCTTTGTTTTACATCAACACATTATATGCTATATATAATTTATAGACATTGATTTGCAAATCTGCCTCAGTCATAGACAAAGTTAAAATCCCAAATTGAGATGTGACACGGCATAAGAGAGAGGACATTAGGATGAATCAGAAACCCTGCTTGAGGCAGGTCTTTGATCAATAGCCAATCTCTGAGACCTTAAGCACATCTCTTCATTTCCCGGAGCTTGTCTGTTTGTTCTGCATAGTGATGTCCTACTGAGGGTCCCACCCAGTCACACATCATGGGACACAGAGACAGACTTATTGGGGTAACCCGAAGAGGCTGATTTGGGATGGAGATGACCAGGCCAGTGCTGTACCCACCTGCAGGCCCAGCTGGCACTCCCAAGAAGTGAAGGGGTCAATGTTTGCATCTCGTCTGTGTCCTGTTTCGACACTGCACTGGGTGACCTCTACCTTAAGAAATCCCTGGATACACGGAAGCCTTGAATGGAATAATGTACACAAAAACATGTTTTAAAAAATGAAAACATGGTCCATATATATTTTTTTTAACTTTTGACTTAAAGCTCTCCAAGATGCACACAAAAAATGTGACAATGGACACATTGCTCTTCTGTATTGTCACTGATCTGAGGTCTGGTGCCCTTTTTTTCCCCAGAACTGCTTAAAAAAAAATTTTTTTTTAAATTTTCTCGTTGAGGTAGCTTGCCATGTCTGCCAGTTGCTGAATTTTTCACCTTCTAACTTACAGTGGATCTGGCAGCATCAAGTGATTCACTTGAAGATTTTTTTTGCACTAAAAACTGTGCCAGGTCTGAATATTTAGGATTCACTGGAGTGGGGGTGGGGGCCTCATCAACAGAGAGTGGCTGCATACTTCTGCAGTTGGTGGTGAGTGATGGCTCACGAAGGGAAAGCAGAAGACAGGATGGGGGCATCTATGAACTTCCAAGGGCCTGTTTGTTTTCTCTCCACCGGGCCAAGTGCCTGGCACTTAGAGGGCACTGTTAAAAAAAAATGTTTGCAACTAGAGATCTATGAAAAAAACCTTTCCCTCTTCCCCAATTTATTTGTAGACCTCTCTAAATGGTAGTCTTTTCTGGGGGAGGAGGGGGCGCATCTATTTCCATAAAGTTCTCAGCCTAGGGAACCACATGGGGCAGTTCTACTGTGTGCTGTGGAGTTGCCATCAGGCGAGGGCACACAAGGATTGCACACAACAACAGCAAACACACACACACACGACCCTAAGAGGAAGCGATTGTATGTGTTTGGGGGTGTCCATGCCGTATGAGAACAGGCTGCACCTGACTCTCAGAAGACCTGAAAAGGTTTGCTAAGCTCTACCATTGTGGCACACCCATCCTCCTCCAACAGCACGAAGGGGAGAGGGAGAAAAAGAACTGAACTCTGTCCTTTGCCTGGGGGACCTCAGACCCTAATTTTTCCTTGTGAGTTCTTGACAGGTTGCGATCCTATGTAAATACTCATAAAAACGCAATCACTTTCTGAGACGCACAAATGCTCTTGTCAAACTCCTTCCAGATATTTATTAGAAGAGACTGGCGCTGCCACTAGAGCCGCTTTGGGGAGAATTGGGGTCTGAAACGTGTATAGATCTTTTGGCAACATAGGTATTTTTATCCAATTAGAACAAAATTAAGCTCTGTGGAAGTGTGTGCCCACTCTAAGTCATTGGTGGTGGGTGTAGGAGGGCTGCTAACGATAAGGTGAGCAGTTAGAGACCACAAACTGCTCAGTGGGAGAAAGATAAGGCTTCTACCCCCTTGAAGAGCTACAGTGTCAGAAAACCCACAGGGGAAGGTCTGCTCTCTACCCTGTCCTTCGTTTGAGTTGGCTTGATGGTGGCGAGCATCTGAGTACAGGGGTGAAGGGATGAGGATGAGGGGGAAGGGTCAAAGTCTGAAAGCTTCTTTGGCCTCCCCTGAACTCA